AAATTAAATCATACTACCTTAGCAGTAGTTGACTCATTTTGTAGCTCGTAATTAATCATGTATATTAAACTCGAAAAAAAAAATATTTTGATAAGATCGAACTTAATTAGAGTCGACCAAAGATAAAAATTATAGTTTTATGATTTTTTAAAGTAATAAATTAGTAATTATTGGGCCCCTATCACGTTGTGTTTTTCAATTGGAGGCCTCCTTTACATTTGAGGACCATCCTTTAGGAGATTTGTTTACATCAAGTTTGGACACGACAATCTTTCGAATCGATTCTCTGTCGCTTCTGAAAGATTTTCTCCAATCCCGAAAAAATGGAAGTGATTCTTTTCTTAATGAATTCTTCAAGTGATTCTTATTTTCACAAAAGTATTCTTCAAGTGATTCTAGTTGTCACAAAAGTTGCAATAAAAATATCGTGTTTGGGTTTAATAATTTGAAGGGATGAATTTGATGCATCGGATTTATGCTCCTATATATATACTTGTATCTTCAAAATTTAGTTTTAGCATTAAGCTCCTGAAATTTCATTAACAAGCGCAAATGGTCCTTTTTAACTATTAGAGTTCACAAGTTGGCATGAAAAATGTACGTATACAAATACAATAAAAATCAAGTGCGTATACAAATACACCGAGCATATAAGTTTGAAAACGATGAAAATGATGTACAAATGATACAATTTAGAGGCCAATGCTAAGGACTCAAAATGAATCAAAACATTCGGATACAAGAAAAAAAAAAAATTGACTTTGTATACGTATGTTTTGATCCGTCGCACTATGCTATTGACTTTTGGTCTAAGATCTTCACAAATCTTTCTATTCCTTGCTTTTGTTAAGCTGTTACGTGGTTATTGGATGTACATCTTTGGCCTTTCCTTTCTTAATGTATTCTTCCCGTGGTTTTCGTTGTCACAAAAGTTGCACTAGAAATATCGTGTTTGGGTTTGGAAGGGACGAATTCATCCTTATTTATGCTCCTATATATACTTTTATCTTCAACGTTCAGTTTTGGCGTTAAGCTCCTAAAATTTTCATTAACAAGCATAAATGATCCATATTGACTATTAGGATGAACAAGTAGACATGAAAAAGTGTAAAGTAAAATTTTCTTCAAGTTTAAATAAAGTGAGTATGTTTAGCTTAGCTTAAAAACTTTATTAATATATTATTCTTGGTAAAATTTAAAATTAAACAAATTACTCATTTTAACATTAAAATAAGAATTACTCCGACAATAAGTAAGTTATCCAATGATTTTTAGAGATAATAACTTTTTTTTAGCTTGGTAAATGATGTTTCTTGCACTCCTCTGTTAGAATATGGTGACTCAAATTCTATTTGGTGATCCAAAAAGCTCGTGGTGTGAAACATATGGTGAAAGTAAAATTATGATCATTTTTGGAGGGTGCGGGAGCAGTGCCATGGTATGGACATGCTTTATTATTCTCGCACCTTATATATATATGAGATGTATTTTAGGGTTTCATACTTTCATTGCATTATCATTGAGTGTATCCATCAAAATGTTCATCCATTTTTTTATATAATGGATTTTTTCGCTTCGGCCCGTGGTTTTTTGGTCTAGGATTTTCACATAAATCCGTGTATTCTTGTTATTATTTTTTATTGCCTATTCTTGCTTTTCCGTAACATCCTCCATAGACGCCGTGCTAATCCGCTCCAATCAGATATATGAAGGAGAGAAATAGCATATAAATGTGATAATTACAGAGGAGGGATAAAATGTGTAATGATAAAGTGCCAATATTTAAGGGAGGGAATGATACTCAAGTTTACAATGCGTGGGATTCGAATCCTCTGGCACAAGGAGGGGATATTTATACTAAGGATGAGAAGAGGAGAGCCGTTGGATGAGGAGACACGTGTTATCAGATCCTTAGGACTCATCCCATCCAGGTGTCAATTTGTCCCTTCATAGATTGGCTGGCATTGATTGTTTTTGACAAAGGCAGCTGAATTGACTGTATGGGTCCTGCCACATGTCCCATCAGTCAGAGATTTGACTTTGGAAAGATCTTTGTACAAGAGACATTTGACGGACGAGGCGTTGCAGAAGCGGAGTGCGGGCCTTTGCATCCATGGTGTACTTGAGGATGAGTCTGGTTCCTTCGCTGACGAATGTTCAGTTCGTTCCTTATGCAACCACTTCGACATGTACAATCATCTCGTCCCATGTGCAATCACCTCGGTCGATGGGTGGCGTGGTGTGGACCACTTCTACTGACACGTGACGGGTGAGGTGAACGATCTGACACAGGACCGTAACAAACTGAATACCACAAAATATATTAGCACCGTCATTGACCCAATCCATTTGCTTTGATGTTGCCACGGTTTGAGATATTTGTTTCCTTGACAATTTTTGCTGTATCCAATCCAATCCATTTTCATTTTTATTAAAAGAATAGTTTCCCTTGACAGTCTGCAAACAAGTAAAATTCTTGCAATTTCAAAGAAAGAAAGAAGGAAAGAAGTCCGAGTTTTGAAGAAATTTACCCATTTTGCATCATTCGGAAGTTTTTCTACAAATTTAAGGTGAGATACTATTGGTGCCAAGCGGGTTACATGAATTTCATGTTTCAAAGTTAATTGTATGATTTATGTGAACTTTTTTTGGTGCTGGACCTCAAATTTGGGAATGATTAAGATGTAGCATCCAAGAATGTCACATTTCTTTTTACGATTTACATTTAAGCTAGAGCTAGAAATTCATGACCACGTTTTCTCATTGAGCTTAATTCCTTTACTCTTTCTCTCTAATATTTTAGGATACAACAAAGAGAACTGACAAAATAATAAACACAATTTGCCGGAGAATAAAAAAGTCTCCAGTCTACTTTTCATTTTTTTATTTTGTTTAAATGACTTTTTTTTTTTACTTATACACCTTATTGTAAAAGAACTTCTTTTCTATATTAGTGAAATTGATCCCCAGCCACCATTTTTATTAACGGATTTGAATTTTTGTAATCTTGGCATTCTTCCTTCTTGTACTAATTCTTCCTTCTGTCATCTTCATAAAACAATTTCACAAGTTTTTTCTGCTAAACATACCACTAATGTTTTATGCCTAGTGGATACTGTTGGAAAATATGTTATTTGGCAAATGAATTTTCACTTGTGTATGTGAAATTAATCCCACATTGATTGAAAGTTGGGATTTGAAGAGGAGCCTTAAAAGGGATTAACAATCCCACATTGGTTAGAAATGGAAAAGTGGGAATATATGGGGACTATAAATAGTACCATCCCACATTGGAAAAAGAAAAAAGAAAGTGGCAAGTGGGAAAACTTAAATAGTTATCCCACATAGGATAAGAATAAGTTTTTGGACCAATTTATATATGGTTAACAATTTGTAAGGTGTAACCATTTGTTGCATAGAGACTCCTCCGTGGCCTACGCGCCCGCAGGGGGGGTGCAAATCTTGGACCGACTTGGCCTTCGAGCCTTGAACTTGTGTGCGGGCGCGACCTGCGTACACGAATGTCGGACCGAATGAGTCAAAAATTGGCCACCAAGTGCAAGCCACGTTTTGAAAATTTTCTTTTACGTTTTTCCATTTAAAACATAACTTGAAAACTGTTTTCATTTATTTTTGTAACTCCAAAACGTGAGAATTCAATGGCAGAGTTATGACTGGAGTTATGACTGCATTAAGAGGCAAAGGCTCCTCCTTGCCTATATATCCCGAACAATCTCTTCAGTTCAGACACACCACAACAGCACGAAATCTTTCTGCTTCCTTTTCAAATTCCTGTCGTCTTACAGTCACTTGGTGATTCCGTTCCGGCACACTCGTTCAGTTCGACTGTACAAACTACAGTTCACGCCGCTGTATCCTGGGAAGCAAGCGCTCGCATTACTTCGGTGAGGGGGCGAATATTGCTTTAAGGACACTGTGTTCGACACAGGCCCCGGCTTCAAAGACGCCAATTTTATCTTCTGTCAACTGCAATATTTTCTTTTTCTGTCCACTGCAATTTGTCTATTACTTCTTCTAATTCAGTTAACTGTTCAGAGTTTACCTACATATACTGTATGACGAAATAGATTATTATTTGATAAAGATTTGAAGATTTATTATTTTATTTTGAGTAGCAAAGAATTAGACAGGAAACACATTTGTAAATCGTAACACCATTAGAAAGGGAAATAACTGGTTTCATCTTTAGAGCAAGCTTCGTAAACGAAGTTTTGGGAGGTCCAAAACAAATAAAAGCTTTAGGATACAATTTTCTCTTTATTTCAGGATACAAATTACTGCAGACAGCTTCAACAACAACAGTTTCACGAACCTTTGGCTTTGGGTTTGTACTTTCAGTTAAAACCGAATCCACCAGAAGCAGGATGACTTCTCCCCCTCAGAACTTCAAGCCTAGAAAGCAATTATCGGAATTCGGAAACTGTCATCCAGACACCAATAACCAATTTTCTAGCTGCGCCTCCTTCTGTTAACATTGAACTTAGTCGTTTCTCATAACACTAATAACAAGGCTGCTAATAAATTATGCATAAATCCTAACAAAACAGAGGGATAAATTAATCCTACTAACATAGTGACATCAACCATTTATGCTTTTTACTTCAAATAATAGAAATAATGCTTATTACTTGTTAAATGGTAAAGAAAGAGGTCGTTAGGGGGAACTAATTCATACATTAGAGAATAAATTTTCATTTGTTCTATAATAAAAATTATGCTTCAACTGCTCATGGCAGAAAGCCTAAGGAACACAGCATCTTAATTTTCCAACTATATGTTGGGAAGTATGTACCTGCATCCTCAACAACATTGGAAGTATCAACAAATTTGTGGTCCTCTCATATCCGTATTGAGCCTGAGAAACAGAGTACATTAATTTATCAATTATTCACACATTAATTAATATTGTGTATTATAGTGTATATAACATGGTAGATGTTGTAAATTAGGAATCAAGAAGACACACGTATACCTTACCTTCAAAATCCAAGAAAATTTGAAATATCAATGGATTGTTCACGATTTATCCATACTTTATCAAGCTTTGGTGCACTCAGTAGTCGTCTTGAACACAATTTTGTGGTCGCAGGGCAATTTTCAATGCGCAAATAATCTAGTGAAGGGAGCACGAGTTCATGGTTCTGAGAGGAAAGCAATCTGAATCTATCAAGATGAAGAAGTCTTAGACATCTCAATTTAGGAAACACAATTCTGCTTGTCGTTCCTTCTTCCACAATTTCGTTGTTTGAAGTTTTGTCTTCTTCTTGTCTTCCAATAATCTCTTCAATTGCTTTACATTCCGAAATCAACACATATTCCAGAGCCGCAAGTGAATTGGCCATTGAATGTGAGAATAAGTACCTTAAGTTGTCACATTCTTTAACTCTAAGACGTGTCAAATTCTTAAAGCTGCAAATTCCTTTAGGAACCATCCTTGTAATGTGCTCTAATTTGGGTAGAGATCTCACAACCAACCATGTTAGTTGACCAAGCATCCTAATCTCTGCATCATCTTTTGTATACTCAAAATCAAACAGAATGGACACGTCATCCAAATTTGCCATCCTCAATCTTCTAAGTTTTTGAGATCCGATTTGCCTTAGCTCATCCAATATTGTCACAGTACAACCCAGTCTATTAATGTTCAACAACTCCAAGTTAGGCAATGTAACCTGGAAGAAATTTACTTAATGGTGTCAGCTAAAATTATGTAATCATAAAACATCGTAAGTTTGAATATCACCCTTAACTTTGTAGAATTAATTAAGACCTTGAGATGAATTAGCATATATAAATAACAATGAAAATAACTGTATGTTAATATAAAAAAATTATGGAAACGTGAAATATAGAGCCCATTAGAGAATGTAAAGATCAGCCCAAGTCTGAACATGTATACGAACTGCGGGTGCTGAGAACCCATCGTGATTTTTTTGAAAATATTCATAGGAAAAAAAAGAAGATTGTTGGGCATGATCACCAGCCCAGCCCATAATAGATCAAGCCCAGAGCTGATTATCACATGCAATAATAAATATAAATATTCCTCAAAATTGGCAGAAACAGTTCCAAACCTTTGCCCTTTTTGGTTCCAAAACTTTTATTTTTGGCACTAAGATCCCACATCCATGCCATTAGGACAAAAAAGTGAAAGATCTGGGGACCAAAAACACACTGAAGTCCCTACTGAAAAGCTTTAATTACGTAAACAATAAGATTCCACGGTTCATCATTTCTGTAGTCAAATATAATGCCAAAACAATTAGGAAATTAAAGAAGCATTAATTTGTAGAAAGGTATCTTAAGATTAGAGGATATAAGGTGATAAATTACACACTCCGTTAATGAAAGCTTATAGGAAATATCAGCGTGTGTCATTTAAAACTTGTTTGTAAAATTTTTTCTAGGGGTTGGATTCCATGCTTCATAAAATAAAAGTTGTGTATGAATTAATTAGAAATTGAGAAACGAGACTTGTAATTTTCTTGTGTGCAATTTTTATATCGGTTAGAATTCATAATATTCATGTGTTTTATAACAAATACGGCCCCATGCAAACATACTAACAAAAAAATATTTACCTGTTTGCACAGTGGATTGAGCATACCAACGGTCGATACACATCTAAAGCTCTTAAAATTTCTTAAATGCTCGAGGGTGATTTCCTGTAGTTTTGGGAACTGAAGCATCTGGGTAATTTCATTTTGTTCCATATCCATTGAAACAATTTCCTCTAACATCTTACAATCGGAAATATGTAAACTTTGGAGATACACCATGCCTAATGCAACTGACTCAGAAAATAGGCTTTTCAATGAGGGGTATCCTTTAATAGTAAGAAACGTAAGATTGTAGAGTGATGGAGGTTTAATGACACCCTTGAACAAATGTTTCATTTTTGGTATGCCATTTAGATTTATCTCATGTAATCCATCAAACGCCCCTATGAGATGATATCCATTCAGATACTCGAAGCCATATTCATCTAACATATTCTTCCTCTCCATCACTTGTTGAGAATGATCCTCAAGTCCATTCATGTTCATTTCTATAGAAAGATGGCCAGTTTTCCTCATCAATGAGTCAATTGCAGGTTGTGAAAGCATACTTTCGTAAGTAATGCCACGTATATGCAATCTCCTTCCGAAATAATAATATTTCAAAATGTTCTCATGAGCATATTCTAAGTCAGTTAATTCGATATGAAATCTTTCCAGCTTCTCAATGCACAACACTTGTAATATTTGCAGCAAAAATTGAGGATCATGTGTGGAAATTTGGAAAGTATTAAGACCAGTCAATGAACTTATCTCCTTAATAATGTACCCTCGTTGTTCCAGCTCTTCATCTCTTATTTCAACGACACCCAAGTACAGTTCTTCCAATTTCTTCAATTGCAACAAGATACCATGTGGAAGTGGACAATAGCTAGAGCTGTGCTTGAACCTCAAATCCAATGACCTTAGGTTGCTAAGTTCTGCTATATCTTCAGGGAAGTGATCGAGAGCAGAGGCCCAAAAACTGAGAACTTCTAACTTTTTTAAATTCCCAATAGTAGAATTTTCAGTGTTTAACGTACATTGGTCCAAGCACAAAGTTCGAAGATTGGTCAACAGTTGGATTGATGATGGAATTTGAATTCTCATATTACTGAAATCAAGAACTCTGAGTTCCTTCATATTGGCAAAAACTTCTTTGGACATGTTCAGTGACTGTTCATCGCAATACACTTTTAGAAACTTTAGGTTTGGATATTCTAACCCACTGGGAAGTTGATTCAGCTCATTTGAAGTCAAACTAATTGCACTGTACGATTCATCGTTACCATGTTTTGGCCACTCCTTCAAACCAATGTGTTTCGACATATATGCATGCTTGTCTTTTGATGCAATTTGTAAGCATACATCCCTTACAACATCATGCAATTTTACCCACTCCTCATTCTTTTTTGAGAGCAGTAAATAGCAACTTTTCAGATTATCAACAATTGAGTTTACCTTATATATGGTTGTAATCAATGTCGTCGTATCTTTAAACAATTCTAGCCCCCATGCATATCTAACCAAATCTTCAATATGAATCCAACGATCTTCTGGATACAGAGAGCAGAGCAGAAGCAAGGACTTGGCTTCTTCACTCTCTAGATAGTCGTAGCTTAACTTTATCCTTGAGTATACCAACTTTTGCAGTCCTTTGATATTGGCCACTCTAGAATTCCGTAGTTCTTCAAGTGCATTCTTCCATGTAGGTTCTGGTTTTTTACTGAGGGCTCTGCCGACAGTCACAAGGGCGAGAGGTAAGCCTCTACATTCCCTTGTAACTTCTTCTGCTATACCCTTTATAACATTTGTTACATCATCAGAAATTTCTGCCTTTTCTTTGAAAAGTTCCCACGATTCCTTTTCATTTAAAATATTGACATCGAATATCTTTTGAGCTTTCATTCTTTTGCACGCATCTTTTTCGCGTGATGTTAATAGAATTTTCAACCCTTTATCATCCCCTGCTGAAGGAACTCCTATAGTTTCCAACACAGTATCTTCCCACACATCATCCAATATTAGCAGAATGCTCTTGCTTCTATCACCTCCAAGTCTTTTACGAAGTAGTTCAGCTCTCTCATCTTTATCAGTATAATCTTTAATTTTCAAACCGAGCTTTTCAGCAATTTGATCCTGAATTTTAGTTACATCTGGCTCGTGAGATACATCTGCCCATGGAAACTCATCAAATAATTTGTCAACTTTGGCTTCGTTAGCTATTTCTTTTGCCATTGTCGTCTTACCTACTCCACCCATGCCGCATATCCCAATTATGCTGATATCTTTATCCTTTAGAGCATCCATGATATCCTTTTTAATTGATATCCTTGTTTCGAAAGCTCCAAAGTCACCGGGGTTTCGATAAGGTATCTGCACCGGTTGTCTAGGTTCGGCCACATTTTGAAATAATTTACCTTCGTCTAGGAGTTTAGCAACCTCAGCAGTCTTCTCTGTGGCGTCCTTGCCAAGCGAGAAACGGGTCTTCAAATTTGGACATATAAAGAATAGGCACTGCATTTCAGAATTTTTTGCATCTTGAAAAATTTTATCTGCCGCTTTCTTTATTTCATCGACATTTTGCAGCCATTCTTCAACATAAGATTTAATATCTAGCACATTATTCTTTGCTTGACGAACCAATTCTCGCACCTCAGTTTCCTCAATTTCAAGATATTTCACCTTATCCCTCAATGTTTCAATTTTGCTGTCGTAGCAGAACATATTCTCGAATTGGCACCAAATTGGGTTCATTGCGAATCCCGCGAGCTTCCAAACAACGGAAGAGACGATGTTTCCCGCCATTATCAATTTTCCAGCTCGAACAGAAGATATTCCAGCAGTATCAAAGAAGCCTATCAGCATTAAAAAAAAAAAAACACACACACACACACTGAAGGGTCTTAGAATCACATTCCACCACAATTTTTAGTAAACTTCAACAAATCAATAACAAAAGGAAAAAGAATTATTCCCCAGTAAATGATCAATTCTATGTGCAAAATTATATGAACTATATGGGATTGGAAAGAAACATGGTTGAGAGGATTGAAAGTTTCCCTTTCTGATAGATNTAAAAAAAATTCATATTTCATGAGTTTAAATTATTTATATTGTAATTAAATGAGTCATTGAGTAAATTGCTAACAGCTTGAGTGGCTCTCAAAAAAGTAAATTGCTAACAGCCCTCTTTATAAATAAGAATGAGGTGAGGGGATAATCAAGATATTTTGATTTTCCATCTTTCAATTTTATTGCATCAGTAGCCTAAAAAATCATTTGTTTAGATGGTAAAATGGGTAAATTGCAAATAATGTATTTACAAAAAATAATTAAAGAAAAGATGTAATAGAAAGAAACGAAAAAAAGGAAAAAGGTTTTTTTTTTAAACTGAATATGAGATCAATAAATGTTTATTGAAAAAATAAAATAAAGAGTTTAAATAGAAAAAAATTGTTGGAATGTTTAAAAATAATTTAAATATACATAAAATACTCATTATAAATAGAAAATCTCTAGAAAATGCTCCTAAACTACTAAGTCAAAGGTGATTATGCACATAAGTCAATGCCACGAACCAAATCTTAGTTTATATTTTTACTAAGGTTTCCACGGATGGCATGTTGATGTAGAAAAAAAATCGAAGAGTTAAAAAGTAATATTATTAGCAGTAATAAATACTTAGTAGAGAAAGATGGAAATGTTAAAAATAAATAGTCACATCGAAGGTTACCTTCTAGTCCGATGATACCAATCTAAGTCTTCCGACGATTTTAACCAGAAACTTAAGAAATATGTCTGAAAGAGTGTTGTGGAGAGAGAGAGAGAGAGAGAGAGAGAGAGAGAATTGTGTGGAGAATAATGGATGAGATAACATTTTTATAAGTTCAATGATCATCCAAAAATCTTTTAAAGTTTAATGATCAATGAGAAATATTGTGAAAAATTCAATGACCATTTGGATTTTTAACCCGTCAAAGGTTGATGATTGAGTACGGACCAAATACATAGAACATAGATTGGGACCAATCATGCAATTTATTCGACTAAATAATTGCACATAAAAGTACCAACTTTAACAATTTATAAAATCGTTTATAAATTGGTTAAACTTCATTTTTAATCACATATTTCAATATATCAACATGTAGCATTCACTTATCCACAGGGGAGGACGCAGAACTTTAACGTTGGGGAGCACAATCGAACTTGTAAAGAAGTTGAAAGAAATTTTACAATAAAAAATTTACGTCCAAAAAAATCATACTCCATGTAATTTTACATCCAAAAATTTACATGGAATATAACTTTTTCGAATGTAAAATTTCGAAATTATTTGAAAATTGCCTAATAAAATGATGAAAATTATATTAAGAAATTTGTATCGCAAAAATAATAAATGTTAATGAAATAATTGAATTTTTTTTTTAAAAAAATGCGAGTTAGACGTATTTCTTTAAAACTCAAGTTTAACGTATTTTTAATTATTTTCGATATCTGTTTGGACTATTCGATATGCCAATAATATAATTCTGGAAATAAGTTTTGAGATGACATAAGCAATTTGTAAATTCGATTAGCGTACGATCGTCAGAGAATTTTTAAAATTAGTATGCTATCGAAATT